CACTGGTATACAAACCTGAAAATTTAAACTCAATCTCTTTCCAACATATCACTGTTGGCTTCCAAATTGACACTATGCTTCTTTTAAAGGTGTGATATTCAAATTCCTGGAAAAAATGTGTTTGTAGAAGTGTTTCAAATGATACCTAAGAAAATCGCAGGAGGCTAAACAGCTCAGGTAGAACTGTGAAGTTTTCAAACTATGAAATGATTGCATGGTATATGCCGAGGCATATTTATAAAATGCATTTTAAAGATATCTAGCCCAAAGTACCAAAATCCCCTCTTCAATTTTGCATGTGATTTTGAATGACTTTTGTATATGACTTTTTAAAATGATTCATAAAAATTTCGGATTATACACATAGTGTGTATCACAATCTACTGAGTAACTCCTGTACAGTGGAGTTGACTTTATGTGAAGGGAACTCTGCCGGAAGTTCATTTTTAGATTTAACAAATACTTTAGTGATTTTTTCTGAAGTATGTTTTATGTGACTTGAATGCAGTTATATGTTATCAAATTTGCATATTTACAATGTAAATTTGAAAGTGATGTAGAAGCAGATGAGTTGTCAAACCGTTAGAAAATAGCCTAAGTTTATTGATAATTATTATGTTCTTCCTAAAATTCTTGCTATAGCTACACTTACCTTTACTGAAGACTCCGTTCCACTAATGATGTAGGCCATGATGTTCACAGAAGTGTGATAATAATACCTAGGCTGGAGGGCCACGGTGCCCTTAGCCTTGCAAACAGAAATCTTGAAATACTGTTGTGACTTCAAGACAATTTGAGGAGTAGCCCTTAATTATTTCCTTGTGCTGAAAAAGAACAGGATATTTGTCTGTGTTTAAAGTTTACTTCAGTTATTTGACTTTAAAAAAAAAAAAAAAAGAAACAAACCTATTTCTTTCACTTGCCTTTTTCCTCATGCATAGATAAAAACCTAAAACTTGAACATAGAATATAGGCTTTCTGGTACCCAGAGTTTCTTTTATGTCTACACTTTTTTCTCACATTTGCAATAGATTGGCACACATTCACATATCTTTCCCCTGCTCATCCATCATGTCTAGCTGAGTCACATCTAAATTATGACATCTAAAACTATCAGACTAATTTTACTTCTTTTGGCTACACCCAGCCCACCTTATGATTAGGGTGTTTTTCATCCTAATCTCACCCTTCAGAACTGTCCCACACCCTGTTGTACTTCCCATGTGTCTTCCTCCTTCTCCCTGGTGCTGTGCCCAATATGTTCTTCATAGTGTCAGTGGCTTCCCAATGTCAATCCTTTTTCATTGTCTCAAGACTGATCTTACAGGAAGCCCAAACTAGTGAGCCTCACTCCCCCATGGTTATTTTATTGCTTGCTTTCTATAGCATTCACTTGTGCTCTGGAATCAAATCATGGAATTTTAAATCTACGAGGTAGACTAGGGCCTTGGTACTTAAAATGTGTTCAAGGACCACTGTTGTCATAGGCATCACCTGGAGTTCTTGTGAAAATGAAAAATTGCAGGCCTATCCCAGACCTACTGAATCAGGAGCTGCGTTTTAACAAGAACCTCAAATAATTCTTATGTGTACTAAAGTTTTAGAACCACTGTCCTAGGATATTGGCATTATGCTAACCTTTTTCTCTGTCTTCTGACATGTTTGTTCTGGCTTCCTAGTTATATTTAAAGTGCTAAGAGGAAGCATTGTCTTTTTTTAATGCATCAAATCTCCTAACCTAGCGTGCCTCAAGATAGATACGTATTTGTTACTTGTGTTCACACCGGCAAAGGGCAGAAGAAGGGGAAAGATGGGGTCTGCAGGAATGCATAAATGTGTGTCTGTGGATGGTGAGTGGTCCATATTACAAAAATATTTTGCCCGAGGGAAAGTATGTTTGTGTGTTTTTGCATGTGTGAGAAAAAACCAGGAGACAGGACTGGTTATTGGATTGAAAGTTGTATAA